CGCACTCTTTAGATCGTACCTCCTCTAACATATTTCCCGTTGTCGCCTCCCTGGACGTCCAGCGGAAGACTTGGACTTTCTCCTGAACGACGCTGCAACTCCCCTTCCGAGTGCTCGAGGGCGCACTCGCGGGCTGCAGGTCGACTGGAATGAGGCAGAGCGGAGACTAGCCGAGGNCCTGAACGACGCTGCAACTCCCCTTCCGAGTGCTCGAGGGCGCACTCGCGGGCTGCAGGTCGACTGGAATGAGGCAGAGCGGAGACTAGCCGAGGAGGAGGACGAGGACATGTTGAACAGTCGGTGACGTGGGGGTTGGTTTACGTGGGCGGGGGAGGTGCAGTGGTTTGATTTTGAGCTGGTGGGCATACCAGAGTATATGTGATTATGAGGTTTTTCGCTCGAGTCAGCGTCATGTGGATGATTGTAAATTAGCGAGGGACGATACAGTTCCAATTCATACCATAGCTTTTCGTCCACTCAGCACTCTTTTTTCGAAAATGTTCATCAAAACACTTTGCACCCTCCGCGGATTATATAGAAGTATCCAATAACTTAAGCTTTTTCGACTCCTACACTTTCGTGCTTCTCGGCGAATTCCCGTTCCAGGGCTTCCGCTTCCTCCACAGTGACGAGACGTTGGGGACCTGTGCATTTTTCGGGAGGGTAAAAGTGGGGACGTTGGTTGAAGAGTTAATGTAATTGTATCGACGACAGCGACAGGTACTCGATAAAATACGAACCTTTGTACCAGTTCCTGCCAGACAGAACCCACGAAAAGATGGAAATGAGGGTGATGGCTCCAATCAAAGCGGGGCAGTACTGTTCACGAATGTTCGGTCAAAATACAGAATTCCCTTTTCAAGCTCGTTTCAAGCTCGTTTCAAACTCGCTTCACTTCACACTCACGTTCAAGTTGTTCGCGTCGACGGGGTACAGTTGGGGTAGGCAGAGGCACACGAAGAGGATCGAAATCCACGTGATGACGAGTGTGCCCAGGGGCTTCCCGGCAGCCCCGAGGTTCCATTCGCCCTTCTTGAAAGATTCACCGGCGATGAAGATGCGGCCAAAGATGCTGGGGAGGGTGCAGAAATGAGGGATAGTTGCCGGGGGTGCTGTGATCGCGCAAACAAGGCCAGCCATGAAAAACTTACGGGATAGCATAGCTGGTGTCAATGGCAACACTGCGAACAAGATGAAAATTCGGTCAAGTTTTGGGGCATTTTCGAGCCGAAGCAAGTCTCCTTACGTCGCTGTGCTCGCGAGAGCTTGGAAGGCCACACTGGAGCCCAGAATGGGAAGCGACACGAGAACACCCAGAACGGTCATCATGATCACGGCACGGTTGGGGAGCTTGTTGGCTCCGACGTGATGGAAGATGCGCGATCCGGGAAGGACGTCGTCACGGGAGATGGCTGGAGGGGAGAGGTGCCACATGAAGAATCGTCCGGAGGAACAAAGTCTACGTAGGCTCACCGTAGGCAATGCGTGACCCGGACATCATGCACGCTGCGGTACAGTTTGTAGTAACGATAAACATGACGGTGAGAACGGCGATGGCGCCTCTGTCGCCAAGGTTCTGGCGCGGAAAAGGTAAGACGACATGTACCCAAGTTTCGTGCGAGGCTCTTACATGCACCAATAGTGATGCGATAGGGACCGGGTATTGGTACGCAATGATGTCATCAATGTTTTGAACTGTCGAAGTGCCAGAGTGTTACGGGGCACTCAAGAGCTTTAATCAATCCAGAGGTACTCACCGCAGAAGATGAGGACGATCAGAAGAGGGAAGGAGAAGAAGAAGGACATTGCCACCGCCCCCCACACTGCAAGACGGAAGGGTGATTGGCCCCCACCGAAAATCAAGAACAATATGATACGTGTACTTACTGCCACGGGCTGCTGTGCGGGAAGCATTTGTGGTTTCCTCAGCGACGTGAGCACTGGCATCGTATCCATAAAAGGTCCCTGTAGTGACGCGAAAACTTAATGACTACGTTGGGAACTCACACTCGACCGAAACTTACAGGCGGGGAACAAAAGCCCAATCATCCATGTGTAACTGTCAGAGAATCCGGTATTGTTGATGAATGTGGTGAGAAATTCCCGAGACTGGAACGCTGGGGCTTTGGCAGGAACCCAAATCTATGGCAGGATAGTCGTGAACGACAATGTGATGTAGTCCACTTGGGTGTTGAACTGTACCATAAAAAGAAGGTACAAAACAAGGACCAAGACACTGCTGATACGGTAGAACCATTTCAGCACGTGCTCATTTGATACATTGAGGAGGGTTCCATAGAGCAGTCCCGCAGTGGTGAGCAGGAACTGGTGGTATGGCTGAATATTCACATCCGGATTTGCGATTTTCAGCGCCGAAACAACCATGAGCGTGCCACCTTGTTGCACAGCCGGTGAAGTGACGACCCAGCCAAAGAAGTTCCACCTGTAGGGTCGAGACGATTATTTGAACACGTCGTTTGGGAGGAACTGCATAACACCGCACCATGCCGTCAACCATGCCAAGAATGGTCCGTGCTTATCTCCTCCAAGCTTAGCAGACCAGAACTACGTTCAAAGGTGATGAAATACCTTTATTTATCAAATTTTGAGTATGGCTTGCGACTCACGTAAATACTTCCTGCGGTAGGCATTGCGGAGCAAATCTCGGCCAGGCAAAGAGACGTCGAAAGAGCTAGGCACCCGACAATGATCCAGTTTATCCATGCTGAGGTTCAGAGGAGATTTTGATGTGAGTCTAGGAAGCGGACAGGTGATCAACCACGACCCATACCAGCGAGCGGACCACCTGAGAAGAAGGATCGAGCGGTTGAAACCCACGCAGCATTACAAACATGACACTCTATCAATTCGAACCTGTCAACATCGCATATCCGAACAACTGCGGTAGACCAACCGTGAAGGCAACTAGCAGATGGGGAAGAGAACAGGCACATTGATGTCGAATGCCCAAAGAAGACCCAGCAAGGAGCGCTTACTAGTCGAGAACGATGCCGCAAAGTTTTCGAAAGCGCCAAGCGCCCGAGAGAAACTGAAAATAGACCATTTGTTGACCAGATGTCCTCTTCACAGACGGATCCGACGAAGCCAGCTCACCTCTGATTACTAAAAACGTAGTTCAAACGAAGAAACGGAGTTAACCATCGGTTCCGACTTGCAGATTATTGGATCCACCACTATTTCCGACAGAACGCACTAGCCGAGCTTGGCGAGCGCAATTGCGTCTTTGTCCATCGCAGCGCCAGACATTTTGATCCAGAAACTAGCGGAAGAGGGTGTCTGGATGTGGATGGTCGCAGAAGGTGGGTTCGGGTGGCGGCGCCTTTTTTTTTTACTCTTATTGAATTATCATAAACCTGGCGAGGAAACGGCTCCAAACGGTGCTGCTTCAGAAGTGTCCGGCCCGGTTCTCCTGTTACCACTGTCTCCCGCATAACGGCCCAATGAAACCAAGGCAGTGGTCTCCCAAATTCATACATTCAATTGTAGGTGCTAATTGCGGGTCATATTCCCCTAACTATAAATGCCACCGGATGCGGTGTAGGGATTCCCAAATACTGTTATAGCACGAATGTACTGCGCTCTACATCTTCTCGGGATGTTGCTCTTCGTGCAGCATTTGCCCTTCACAGTTGATTATCCGCCGGCCCGATGTCTGGAAAGCAGAAAGAAAACGACTGGTCCGCCTACCAGTAGAACTACATAAAGCAGATTTTTGGTGAGCCAGCTCAACTCAATCGGTAATGATGACCGCAATCGTTTTGGGTGACAAATCGCACAACGGATACAATGATTATCCTTTCCTCTGCATCGAAGCGGCAATCTCTTTCATAATGTCCGGTGATATTGTGCGTGTGGAAATCTCCATATCAGAGCCTGGTACTTTGATACTATACTTGTGCTCCTTTGTTTTCTTCTCTTTGGGCATCGCCTCTGAATTTCTTTCCACAGACGATGTAACACCAGTACCCGCATCCTGGAGAGTCATTGTGGAGCAATGATTCTTGTGTCTTCGCCAGTTCTAACCAGTGAATTCACCAAACCTCAGTCCCAAAAATCAAAACTCAATGCGATTTGGGCAACCCCAATCACCTGTTTTTGACAGTCCACACTGCAATACCGCGCAGCTTTGCACCGGCTGCACTTTTTCAAGTCGGACTTGGTGTTTCCCACAATGGGGCAATCCACGTTGTAACATTGAACCTGGAGTTCGGCTCTCGTCTCCATCTCCCTCATCACTTCCTCCGTTCGAATATCATAAGCTCTCCAGATTCTGGGAAATTCCTGTCGTAGTACGGATTGCATTTGTGGCAATACCGTGTTCACCGCCGTTTTTATGATGAAGAGAGTAGTCGGGGTGAGATATCCAGATGCAACCGGCTCTTCCAAATGCGAAAAGGCCTCTCTGAAGTATTTCATGTCGGCCTGCCCTGGTTCGAGTGTGGTATGACCATATCAGGTTCCGAGCGACATTCCTTGGACTGTTCGCAGACACATTCGAGGTCTGCTTCGTCGCGGCTACCCTTGCGGTACCACCGAAGTCCCTTGGCAATGTCCTTGTCCACTCCGAACCCATACATGTAGGCATCTCCTGCTTTCACCATGGATTCCGCGCCCCATCTTCTGCTCGCTTTCGGATGGACTCTACGTCACCGAACCTCGGACTCGATACGTCTAACCAGAGGTGTGAAGAAGTCTTCGGTTGTGTTGAACTGAAAGTTCGGGTCAAAGCCTTCACGACAGCCGTTGATGGTTCGGTAATATTCCAAAACGGGCTTCGGGTCTTCGAACAATTGATCAAGTCGCTTCCGCGCTTTCGTCGACATGAATGACGGTGGTCGGAGTCACGTCTCGGGAATGAAATAGTTGAATACAAGTCGTTTTTGTTGCAGACATTTCGCAGATATGCAACCAAAACATGGAATGAACACCTCGAAAATTGAAATCCGATGCAGTCAAAAGTTACCATCGAGATGCAAAACTGCCCCCGCCGTGGATTGAACACGGGACCTTCAGTTTACGAGACTGACGCGCTGCCACTGAGCCACAAGGGCGATCACGATTTGAAGCGAGGAAATTTACATCTATGTTTATAAAATAGTATTAAAAATTTGCTACATTGAAATGACCCTTCCGCACCGTTCGTTGCGCTGTTCTTGATAATCCAAACATTCACTTGATAAATTAAAAGTACAAAACTGCTTTTTCGGCGCAGCAAAGTCATGGTGGAAGTACTTCATGTTGTAGCCATCTTCATCAATAACAAATGCGCCATGTAAGCCCAACGAGGAACGAGGCAAAAGGTGATGTTGGGTTAATACAGGAATTTTACAGGAATATGAAACATTACACACATCAGCATGGAAAATAGATTCGACGGACTCCCGAGAATTCTTCAGTTTGCTTACCTTGTGGTGTTGAGGTCTCAGTCATTGTGGGCCGTTATCGTTGGCGCCGGCTTCCAGGCAGCTTTGTATACTAACTAATCGGCCTCTGCTTTGGAATTCACCGCAAAAGCCACATGGGTGTCAGGGCTTGGATTTCCAGGCTGCAGACAGCGGTCGGGTCTGATTGATTTCGCTGGGTAGTAAATTACAGGGAGGGAGAAAAGGTGGTCAATTGGCATAATGGAGCTGAAGTGAATATCTTCGCATTCCACCGCCATTTATCGATGAAACTTGGCCGTCTCCTATGCCCAGAGTATTCCAAAGTTGGGTGGAGTTTACATAAAAGCGAAATAGCACCTTCTTTCGCAGCTTGGGGGTTATTCACGCCTATGTCAGACCCACATTCAATTTTCAAACTTGAAGGCGGTGCTTCCTACAGTCGAGGCGGTTTCCGGAACTTATATATTTCTTTTTTCTATCTCCAGGGTGGAAATTTGGACTTCGGAGATGGGAGGCGACGGGTGGTGGTTTGACTTCAAGTGTTTGGTCTCAATATACAGTTCAATATACTTCTGCACCCAAGCATACTCACAGTTTCATGTACAGTCATAGAACACACACGTAAGCACTGTCTCATTTCTCTGTGGAACGTGCATCGTGCCTCGCCGCAGTTGGTGCTGAGGGAACCTAAACTCAAAAGGTCACTCGACAGATCAGCCGAAACATCGATGATGTCCAGCAGACCTCCTCCGAATCCGTTCCACGTTGTCGCACCTCCACCGGGCCCACCGAGGGAACCCCCGCCAGTGAGCTTGTGTCTTCGTGTGATGCTCGATACGACTTCAGGTGTCTGACATGTTGCGCAAACATGACAGCCCGTCCAATCGCCCGATGCTGTACCTCCCCCGACAAGCGCTGTAGAGGATCCGCCCGTCACTCCAGATTTTAGCCCTGTTGGAAAGCGCTTCAACGCTCGGCTATCCTACGACCCGCGGCAACAAGATGGTACGTTGTTGTCCCGATTGGTCATCACCACTCTCAGTAAAAGCGCCTATACCTTATTAAGAACTTCTCGTGGCTGTTGGTGATATTGTGGAGGTCCACGTTAACTATGGAGGTGGGGATTGACTGTCCCTGAAGCAGACTTCGTTGTTCAACTTCTCCCCGCCTAAAGACGGATGGGGACTCAGCAGTAACCATACCGCCCGGAAAACTGCAGGTATTTGATAAATAAGATTTGCGCGCGTCGACGGAGCCAACCCATGCCCATAATTTCCGATTGTAGTGATGCCTTTCTTCGTCCTTGGGGAGCCATACGTCTCTGCTATCGTAGCGGCGGACACGAATGCTGGTGCTCCCCCCGCATATTCCGTTGCCGCTCCCGCCTCGGAGCCCGCGCCGCCTCGTACAATATCCTCTTACTCTGAGCTCCTTCATATCGCCGATGCCACTTCCCCTGACCCTCAGCGGCCCGGACTCAGAACGCTGAATCTCGTTTTCAGAGATCCTTCGGATCTGGAGATCGTTGGTCCGCTGGCGGGTAACTCCATGCCAGAGCAGAACTGTGGATACAAGTCGAAGAGAGTGAACGGGAGTATGATGTACTTCCAGTGAGTGGACGTTGGGACCAAGTTAGTGGCTGCTCTAGAAGCTTGATGTGTTTGTCCACCCCCTCCCCCCCCGCCCCCAATGTGACGCTTTAGGTACGTTCCCAGGATTAGCTCCGTTCGCGAAATCCAAAAGCGTATCGGCAAGGATAAGAAACCAACAATATTTCGCCTTGTGAGTACACGTACTAGTGAGAATTACCTGTCAGCCGCTGCACTGCACGTACTAACCGGTGACCCTCGTAGCACTTCCTGTTCTCGGATGACAAAATCTGGAAGCAAGCCCGTCGCCTCTTCCCGCCTAAAACCGAGAAAATGTGGGCACAGACCCTCGCTGACAAGTTTGTCAAGCCGATCTGTGCGGGAGGCCAAGCGAGAGTTGCAGTGATAGACGTTGGTGGTGGTACGTTACGTTATTTTTACACGCCTTCTTCTCTGTGATAATCCTAAGCTTACACGACCGCCAGCGCCTGAACACCACATCGTCTATTTGATTCGCTCCACCACTGCCCCAACTTCCTATCCCACTTATCGTCTACCTTCAAAGTACCAAAGAGAACAACTCAACATCCCCCAAGTTTCTTCCACACCGCTTTACCAGCTCCAGCAAACAGCCGCGCCCAGCTTGCCCCCACTTGATGACCAAACTCGGACGAGGTGGTCGGTGCAAGTCGGAGCTGTATTCCGTGGAGTGTACAAGGCCATGGGGACCGCTGTTGTGGGGAATCCGTACACTACGGTACGCCAGGTAGTTCCTTACTACGGGTACGGTTATGGCTACTACGATCCCGTGAGTCTCATCACTGGGGGACGATTGCGAATCTGCCGTATAACCTCTATCACACTAACACGCACGTCCACCACTCTTTTCAGACTGCACTGATCTTGTTGAGTCTTATGTGGAGCCCATTCTACGGGTACGGTTTTGGATACGGTTGGATTGGCGGTTGGGATGGAGGATAGTGAGTTCGCAGGAGACGTGTGCTCGGTGGTACCTAACATGCTCATTCTCACTTCTCAAATCTTCCTAGCGGATGGGGTGGCGACTGGGGAGGGCCTGGTGACTTTGGGCCTGGGGATATCGGCTTCTCTGATCATGGTGGATTTGTCGGAGGAGATTGGGGAGGCGATGCAGGAGGCTTCGTGGTGAGTGCGAAGACTGATTTGATATTGAATTGTGGGACGGATCACTAAAATTCCGCTTGCGTTTTGCAGGGTAGTGATTTTGGTGGAGGCGGTTTCGGAGGGGATTTTGGAACTTCTGTGAGTTTCCCGCAATTCCTTGATTTCTCGACTTTCCAACTTCATGATGGTTGCTTTCATAGGGCGATTTCGGCGGAGGTGGTGGTGGATTTGATTTTGGAGGAGGTGGTGGCGATTTCGGTGGTGGTGGATTTGGAGGTGACTTTGGCGGTGGAGGTGGAGATTTCGGAGGCGGAGGATTTTAAAGAGAGAATGGATGCTTGGAGTACGTGTGAAGCACGGGGTATATATAGGTCTTGGATTTACATCACAGTTCTATGAGTTCTATGTCATGTTTCGAACACCACCTATTGGTCCGCCCTCCTCACGTTCTTGTTCTTCTTTCCACCGGCACTCTGAGGACGCTTTGATGAACTACTAGACGCTGAAGATGGCATCGGAACGGCCTTGGACCCTCCCGATTGTGGGCGCTGTTGCTTCGACTCGAACAGTGGCCTCAGATCCACAACGTCGCTGAAGTCATTCCATCCTCGCGGAGGGACAGCTTTCGCCGTCCTAGTTGGTGGCTTTGGTGACGGTGTCTGCCCCGTTGCGATCCTGCGAGTGACGGCTTGAGAGCTTTCCAACAAGGGGCGGCCTCCAACTGGACGAATCGAGCTGGTGGAACGGTGCACACTGTTGATCTCACCGAGCACTGCGACAATCACACCAACTCCGGATACAACGACTTCGGCGAAGGCACCCATTTGGCGCTCCAGACGGGTGACGCGGCGGCGTAGCAAGGTGACCTCAGCCCTGAGGGTCGCCATCTCCGATGGTGGCGGCTAAAGAATGATTCAATGTCCAACGAGTCAACACACCTTGGAATGAGCGAAAGAGGAGCTTAAGTCTTACCTTTGGTTTGGTTTTCATAGCGCGGCGAGTGTTCCGTGAGGTTGAAAGAGAGCTCACGGGGCGAGGAATGTAAGGAATTCCACTGGACGAGCGCATCTGTTGAGACTCGGCAGCGTTGGCCCACCGGCGCGCCTCTTCGATGATGGTGAAACCTTTGTTTGTGGATGGTCGCCACTTGCGCTGTTATCTCAGTTCATCAGTCATCCACGTCATGATTTCGTGTCAGTGGATACTAACCATTTGTTTCTTCATCCAAAGGCTATAAGACCCGACGACAAGCCCACGTTGCACACCACTCTTGCCCTGCTTTCGGGTTTTAGCAGCGATTTTGCCTCGGGATTCGTTCTTCGACGTTGACGAACGGGAAGTGCTGGCTGCCGGTGCGCTCTGATGTTTGCTGGAAGTGCGACTCGACGGTCTTGCTGGTGGAATGTTTGGACGAGCGCACTGTGCCAGAGTATCGTTAGAGTCTCATCACCATGATCTGATCATTGCGGCGAAGAACTTACTTGATAAGGCCTCATCGCCGGTCCAGAGAAGAGATCCATAGCGAAGGATTCCATTGTCCCGAACTCTCTCGAAAGAAGATCGTCACGGCGGGATGAAGTTGGTCCTGGCGCATGGATTTGCTTCGATGCCGTGTGTGGGCGATTGGATGTTCGGGGTTGCTGCCGGGTGATATTTCATGATGAGTTTCAGTCAGGTTTTTGGTTGTCCAGAGAGCATCTTACCTGCTTTGTTGCAACCGGAGCTTGAGCCTGGAGCGATTGAACCGCTGAGATGGCTGAGTTGTTTTGCTGTTTCCGACCCATGATTGATTTATCGACTGGTATGAGATAATGAATGGAGAATGTACAGGAAGGTTTATAACTGGGGACGACTTGAGTTTGTTTGGCCTCAATTTGGATTGTGGCGATGTCGCCTTGTTCTCGAATGTTTATGTAGAATGTTTACACCTGATCG